ACTTACAGTGAGTGAGTGGAGGGGGAGGGGAGTGGGGTGAAGAAGAGGAAGAGAGGCAGGGAGACCCAGGTTGTTGGACCTCATGCACGCCTGTCTGCCTCCATCATGCTCATGTGAACAGCAGGCGCTCCACAGGATGTGTCATGACATTATTCACCACCAGGGGCCAATGAGCGTGGAGCAGGAGAGGGCTTTCTAAACAGTGCTTTTTTTTTTCCCGCCGTGTGAGGAAAGTCCCGTGTTGTGTGTGTGTGGGTAGAGGGGGGGGGGGGGGTGGGGTTTGGGAGAGAAGGGTGAGTGAGCAGGACCAAAGGTGAGCAAATGAGCAACACAAATTCCCTGTGTATGTGAGAGCTCCTCGTCCCCTGAGGTATTTTTAGCTTTGTTTTTCAGAGAGTCTGTTTTCCCAGTCAGTGCGTGGCACAGGGTCTCTCATGCATTTCTCAATCATCTACCCCTCTGTGAAGACACACACACACACACACACACACACACGTAAAAGCACTGAGTTGCTTATGCTTTAATGGCTAACCTTCACAGGGCTCTTATTGTCCCAAGCAATAAATCACTTTCACTTGCCACAAACTGAAATATTCATTCTGTCTTAATCAAGCACTACCTTCTACACACACACACACACACACACACACACACACACACACACAGAGCTGTGTGTGGGACAGAGTGTTGCTCCCTGCATGTTTGTGTTGGAAGCGTTTGCTAATGATTTCGTGATGTTAGTTACCTTTGGTCGTGCCAAATATAGCGCTCGAAGTTGAAAACGTGTGACCAACAGGAACATGTGTGTCATGCTACAGAGATCGTTCCACTGTACGGACCTACAGGTTTCAGAATTGAATATTTAACATGTTAGTCATAACATGTTATTGTTGATTTTAGAAAGAAAAAAAAAACGATTCCGTTTTAAGGGATTGGAGTTGAAGTACTACTTACTTAGTCAGTAATAAATACATATTTTTGGATCAGCTGAACTGGGTTGCTGAACGTTAAAAAAAATGTTAAAAATACAGCACATTTTTGGATCAGCTGAACTGGGTTGCTTAATGTTAAAAATACAGCACACGGAGAAACAGGTGGGATTAGACCACAGGGAATTAGACCCAAGGGTTTGAACAGGTTCTGGACTGGGATTAGACCACAGGGAATTAGACCCATGGGTTTGAACAGGTTCTGGATTGTTCTCTGACTCTCTCCACAAACTCTGGTTTCCTCCCACAGTCCAGAAATATTCAGAATCACGTGAATCATTCACTCTAAATTGACCACAGGTGTGAATGTTTGCTCGTCTGTATGGCTCTGTGATTGGCTGTATACTTTACTCCAGCTCTCTCTGCTATCATAAAGAGGATGAAGCAGTAGAACATTAATACATGTGTAAAAAAAACAACTAAAAAAAACAAACCAACATGGTCTCAGTTTTAAAAGTTAGATTTGTTCAGCAGCTACTGGGGATATAATCAGTCAGGCTTTATAATTGTTTCCTTTGTTTATGTCTGATCTTCTGGAATATTTTTTAAAATATTTTTGGAAGTGAAACCTGTGAATTAATTTCAGATCTTATTGACCATAATTAAACCAACCATTGGTCAGGTTCTGACCACTGAACCTTCGCTGTTATAAAGATTGACCCTCTGAATGCCAGAAATGAAAGACTCCAATGATAAAATAATAACCACAGTGTAATAACCAGAAATATCAGACTGCTCTTTATTATTAGCATTCATGCTCGGTCTGTTTCACAGTCCCCTCAGTCTCAGTGATTTTAACCAGTCTGCTGACTGTCTTCCTCATAGATCCCAGTCATGACTGGAGCTTTTATGGACTCCTCGCCCAACGACGACTACAGCGGCGAACACTCGCTCTTCAACTCCTCGGCCAGCGTTCACGCCGCAGCCTCGGCAACCTCCGTGCAGTGTCAACAGGAAGAGTCCCAGTCAGTGTCCAGCGACGCCATCTGGCTCTGGATCGCCATCGTGGCCACTATCGGGAACATAGTGGTGGTGGGCGTGGTCTACGCCTGCACCTTCTGATGAGCAGACAAGTGTGTTCGTAAAGACAAATAAAAACACTTTTTCTGGACTCCTAGGAGAGGCATCGCTTTGTCTCTCCTAAGCTCACTCTCTCTCGCTCTATGTCTCTCTCTCTCTGTTGCACCTGACTAATGGATCAGTTTGAGCCCCCTAGGGTTTGTTAGTGGTCGTGGTTGACAATGATGTATAGACTCCTGCTGTATATTTCTTCATCGGAGGCACCGACTGGACCTGGGCCACATTTGTCAACAGGTGCAGGAGTTTGGAGAAGAAGCTTTGGTGTTTGACAGTGGAGGACCACGAACTTTCACTTTCAACCACCAACTCCGAAAAGGTTTTCGTTTCAATTCAGATTCAGTTTATGTTCAAATTCTAGTTGATCCAGATCCAGATCATCCACAGAAACATTTCTGAGTTTTTAACCAGCGATGGTTGGTGGCTTTGTCAGTCTTCCTCAAATGGGGGCGATATAAAAAAAAGTTTGAATACCCTTCCTGGAGACAAAAGCAAAGTCACCAACAAGCAGTGGTACTGTTGAGATGAGCGCCCGTTCCCTTCGAGGAGCCGTACACCTCAGACAGTTTCACATTAAAAGTATTGTTATGCCCTATTTTCATATATAAACTGGTTATCATCTCTGATAACAAGAAAAGACAAAGTATTTTATTTAGAGAAGTATTACTTCATGATATAACCAGTCGTTCACCATCCAGGAAGGCTGTGTTGCTGATTACAAACCACCACCGTACAGTTCTAGTAACCCAATAAAGTAAGGGAATTATTTGTGTACAACTATACTACTACTGCTTAATAATGATGTATTTGTTTTGGAAATTACGTAATACTTTAGTTTCGGGCTTTTGCTGTTGATAAGAAATAAATAGAATATTTTTACACTATTCAACGACAGGAAACAGATCTGGACATTGGCGGCCGTTTAGTTTCCTTATTTAAAATGTTGATTACAAGGTTTTTTCTGTTGAGAGGGTCATATCAGAGGATCTGATCGTGTACCATGTAGCTCTGTGATTAAGGACTCAGAGTGGGCGGGGCTAAGAAATCTGGTTCCTCACGAAGCATGTTTGCACTTTTGGGTTTTCACATCAGATCAGATCTAAACTAGAGGTTCATTCATCTATCAGTAAGATGAGCTCAGTCACTCAGTTTGTTTTACTGAGTGCGCTGTGCTCATACCTCAGATTAAATGTTAGTCCCGCATAAAATCAGAGAAACACAAAACTCACTAAAGTTTTTTTTTTTTTTTTAATTTTCCATAATTATAGCCTGTAAAAAATTCTTCAACTTCTCCAATAGGAGGAGACAAACCTTGTCCATCAGATACAGACTGTGATACAGATTATGTTTCCAAAACCAATTTCTAGAGATTTTTTTGATAGATCTGTACCAGTGTGAGTGGGAAGGCAGGATAATTTGGGGATGTTTTCTTTGTCTCCATCAACCTGCCGTTCACAGCACATTAGTTTTGTGTTACTGTGGAGGCTGGAGGCAGCCGTCGCCATGGAAACTATTACTAGCCCTAATTGGGAACAATAACTTTGGGTCTGAGGCATAAAGCTGCAGCTACATCTAGAATTACACAGTCTCTCAGAACAAAGGCCTGTATTTAGACAAATAACACAACTTGTACAAACCGACTTTTAGTCTTTCAGCATTTCCTTCTAAGAATTTATTTCTCCCCTTTAATAAACACAAGGATCTTCTAAGGTGAACTTACAGTACGGTGGGACCATGTCCTCATCAGATCTCCTTTTTAACACAGCTCTGGTTCCTGAAAAAAAGGCAGCGCCTGGAACAAAAATTGGATTGGTAGTATCAAATATTTGGAAGCACAAAGCACGAACTGTGAACAAACACCCGTGGACTTCTAAAAAAAATCTGAATGTTTGTCAACGTTTGAAGTTTCCTCTGAAATGAACGAGAAACCAAAGGACAAGCAAACAGTAAGAAAACGTTGGCACCACATGTTGGAATTTTGGTACGAACTGGATTGAACTGGAAAAACGGAGGTTTGAAAAGGACGAGTTTTGAAGCCGCTGTTGGTCTGGTTTAAGACAAATGTCCACCACGTGAATAATGGTTCTTAAAGTGGGGACGGGGCCCCTTGAGGGGTGCAGCAAGAATAATTTGTTTCAATTTCAATACCTTCTTTATTTGTCCTACAGTGGGGCAGTTGCACTGAATTGTAATTTTATTCTTTTGTTCAATGAGAGAAGCAGTTTTTAGGAATTATAAATAAAGTTTCTGTCAAGTTTTAAAGCAATAGCTGTCGGAGTGTTAGCCTGCAGAGGGCTGGGCTCATCGGTTGTTATATTTACTAAAGGGGGTGCTGCAGAAAATGTTTAGGAACTACTGAAAAGAGTACTGAGAGCTTTTGGAATACTTATTACAGTGACTAAACAAGTCTGACAATACTGGGACTGTTTTTGACCCGAAATAGTTCCTTAGAGGTTGGACTATCAAAACAGTTTGGGATGAAGGATGAAGGAGGACGTTGTTCAATTCAATTCAACGCCTCTAAGTTAATTTCTAATGGTTCCGGGTCCTTCAAACGTCCTTGTTATATATGGTGGAAATGTGGTTCCAGATTAGCAACAAAACTGTCTTGTTAACACCATGTTGTCCATGAAGTGCAGCAGACTATACTGGCTAACTGTAACAACTGTTTGACGTAGGGAGAAATCCAGACACACTATTCTCTTCTTATTATAATGAGTGTGCATACATGTAATGTTCTGAGAAGGAATTTTAAAGCCTACTATTTTTAATAAATGGTTGCTGTAGAAATGTTTGAACCCGTTGTAAATGGCGTCTATTTTGGCTCACTCACTGTCACCGGAGGATGATGAGAGGATGATGATGCGCTATCCTCCTCCAAATGAGCAGGGGATGCTCACATTGGAGCCAATGCCACTGGCAGACATCACTAGTCGAAGCCGGGCCATCAGGTGAGATTGATGCAAAGCTCAGATGGCGCCATCTGTCATTTTGACACAGGCTCAGGTTGTTTAGAAAATAACCTTGATTCAATTCTCTGTGGAGGCCTGCACCCATCTGCACCACGGTTGACATGGTCTGTGGAAAAACTACTGCAGTAAAATCCATGTATTACATTTTCATTGAGTTGTATTACTGCTGCAGGATGGTTCCAAACCCAACTGAGAAATCTCCATAAATGATGAAGCTGCCATATGTACTTCGTTTGCACAGCCGGCAAGAAAAAGGTGCATTTGTAGCATTGAAGATGATTGTGATAAATCCTCCTGGTGGTCATCATGATTCACAGTCTGATTCTCCAGGGAATTATTTGGTCCATATTTAGTTTTTTTGTCCAGAGAAATTATTTGGTCCATATTTAGTTTTTTTTCCAGAGATGTTTTATTGAAATTGAAAATATTTTGAAAAGAGTGTCACCTTAAACAAATGCAAACCTTTGGGGGGAGAAAAGAAATGAAATGTCATAATAACTCACATACTGTATGTGAGTCTCGTGTCTGTGAAGATTCTCATTCATCCAGGTCATGTTATCCAAAGAGTTTAGTGGGAAGCAACTGGTGAAGTTCCTCAGTTGAGGAACGAAACGTCTTTTGAACTCCTAGAAGTCTTTTGCCTACAACTAAACCTTTTGGATATATGAGCCTCGATAGTACAGCCTTAATGTTTGCAGATGATGTGATGATTGTACAAATGGCCACAGTTTGATCACTAGAACAACAACGCTAATGGCCTCAGCCAAATAAGGACTAAATTACAGGGGTTTTCAGCTGTGGGTTAAACAGAAAAAGCCTCTTGGATGTAGTAATTATAATAAGTAATTATTTGGATGACTACTTTTTACTTCTACTTGAGTAATATTATTCTGAAGTAACAGTACTTTTACTTGAGTACAATTTTTGGCTACTCTACCCACCTCTGACCAAAACAAACAAACAAAGAAAAAATCTTTGGGCAAACGGATCTACCCCGACTTCACACAGATGCAGCAGCCTGTCTCCACAGAACAATGGCAGGGCCCATGAATAAATGCCCACAGTAGAGAAATAAAGACTGTGTAATAAATTAAATGCAGGTTTTGAATAAATGAATATCGAATAACACATTTGCATGAACGCCACGTAATTTGTTTATTCTTTCATCCAGTGTCATTGTGGAGAGGCTGTAAAGACGACTTGGCTTAGCGAATACTTTATAGATACGTAGCTGCCTTTTTAGCAAGATCAAAGCAAATGTTGACAAAGGAGGAAACGTCTGGTGTGTATTATCTTATCCAACTTTTTTCCTTCCTTGATAAATCTTCAAAAACAATCCAAACCTCTCCTTTTCTCAGTCGACCAAGTTATTTTAGTCATGTTAAACTTCTGTTAGCCTCTAATGCTTAGGAATCTAATATATTACAAGTGGAAAAAGTCTGAGATCCAAGCTTTCTGGAATGCACCATTAATTGACTTCACTCCTACATGGAAGGTTCCACCACTAACACACCTGCTTTAAAATATGACATATATATTGTTTATATGGATATATATGTGTATGTCTATTGACAGTTATTTATTTTTTTAATTTCATATTGTTATACTTATGTGCAATAACCCTCTGATCCCCCTGTGCGTGGGGGGGCGGGGGGCTGGAGAGGGGCACAAACTCCAACAGAGCAACTACCGTATTTTCTGCACTATAAGTCGCTCTGGAGTATAGGGAGCACCAGTGCCTTCTAGTGGCTGTCAGTGTGAAAATAACGAACTTGTAAATGTTCAGTGGTACAAGAGTAGCACATACTGGTCACCGAAATTACATATATTTTAATATATAAGTCGCACCTGAGTACAAGTCGTAAACTCCGCCAAAGGATGAAAAAAACCCACTGCGATTATGCGACTAGTTCGGAAAATACGGTATGTTCTTTCCACCCGAGGAAGAAGTGGAGTCGAAAACATTCAGAGATCACATTTCATGGAATACTCGTTCACTCTATAGACCTACGCACAGAGCAGATCATCTGGTTCCCCAGTGGAAGGGCTGCTGGGGTTAGCACCATACAGAGTGATCATCGCCTTTGAATACACCACGGGTTAGTCTAATTCCCCTCAGCAGAGGAGATAAAGAAGGAAATGAAGTCAGCTGCACCTAATCCTCCAGCAACCTTCCTCTGCATCCGATGAAGCAATTAGACTGTGTTCAAAAATAAAAGCCCCGAGGGGTGAGGCGAGAAGACTCTGACAGAGTGAGCAGCAGAGGCATATAATAAAAATCCATCAAAACAAAAAAAAAAAATAGCAAGTCGTGTTGACCTTGCTGGGGCTAATCTGTACTAATGCATGGTGATTATTAAAATTTCCAGGTAATGTGTGCGAGAAAACTCCTGTGGGTTTAGCTGTGAATAATGGATCGTGTTAATTTAGCAGAAGCATGGCATTAATCAGATTAAAATAAAGCAAGAAAGACATAATATTGCTGCCAAGTTCTGCAGGGAGTCATAAACTTCATTGTCCAATCATGAGTGAGAGCCTGTTACAGAGTCCTACACAGATGTGTGGCACTAACTGTGAATGTGCCTGAAACAGCAGATTTTATTCATTACAAGTCATTACATACAGTACATTTGGACTGAGGCTGGAACTGATGTCTGTCACTGTCTGTCTCCACTGTCCATGTGTCGGTGCTGGTGGGTGTATGGAGGGAGGAGGGTGGGTGGGGGGGGGGGGGGGGGGCAGTGAGTAAGACTGGTGCTGTCCCTGCATCATCAGGAGCCTCCACACTTTTCTGGAAGTACAGTTTTAAGCACAGCAGAAAAAAAAAAAGAAATCCTGCACAAATTACATCCACAGGAATCATTAAAGGAGTTTTCCTCCTTGACATTTACTTACGTTTGGATCTTGTATTAATTTCACACTGATCTGGACATGATTAGGATTTTGTTTAGATTTAACATCCCCTGGAAAACATCAGCATCTTCTGCTAAACCCCCCAGAACCGATTGTGTTCCTCTTCTGTATCCTGGTGATTTAGCTAAAAATAATTACAATGCAAATTTGCTGCCGTCAGGATAAAGAGTTTATTATAAATAAAGCCGCCTTTGACAAGTGTGTCACGCCAGAACAGTTTCAAAGATGAAAAAGTTGAGGGAAGAAAAGATCTGAGTGACACTTTATTAACAAAGTTTATTTGAAGATGAAAGTATGTAGAGTTCTGTCCTTGTGCAGATGTCTGGATAGAAATAGACCCTTGTTTGGACACCACGTGGGTCATGTGACCAGTTTGTGATTAGCCTATGTTGTTGGTTTGTTTGTTTTGTTTTTTGTTTTGTTTGTTTTTATGGGGAAATTTTATTTACTTGTAAAATCTTTCCTGTTGGAATTTCAGTTTTTAAATGAAGTTCATTCGTGCAACTGCCAACTCCTGTGTTTTGTGTGATTCACAGTGTGAAATCTCAGCCTGTTTAGCTGAAAACATTGCTACATAGATGCACTCACAGGAATTGAAGAAAGACACGCAGCGATCTTTAACAGCTCTGTTTTCATAGCCATCTGCTGCCATCTAGTGGTAAAATATTTAGTTGTTCTGCCTGTCACTATGCATTGATATTTAGTTGTTCTGCCTGTCACTATGTATTAATGGACATTGAAGGAATATTTTTTTATATAAAAAAGATAAATAATAGTTTTCAGACCAATTAAGCGTAATTGGATCATCTATGGCACAGCTGATGATCTTTCATGCCAGACTAGTGCCACGGACCAGTGGTTGGGAATCACTGCTCTAAATGACCTCTGAAAAAATGTCACAGAAAATATATATAAGTATATATATATTTTCTTCCTATTATTAGATTCTTCCAACAAAGGGTGTTTCGTTGCAGGAGAAAGATCACTCTGAAAATAACATGAGCCACATCAATAATAATAAGAAACAATAACGATAAAATGGACCGTTTGTGAGCACTCACTTAAATATTGACCGCAGGTGTGGCTGTGAGTGTGAACGGTTATTTGTCACTGATTATTGCCCCCGTCACGGTCTGCTGCCCTGTCCAGGATGCTCTCTGCCTCTCTCCTCCTGTCAGCTGGGATATTGGATCCAGCTCCTGCTGCTTATCCTCATAACGAGATAAGCAGCAGGAGATGAATTACGGTGATGTTATCACAACATCAGCCTGTCTGCAGGCGGTCACCTCTGGAGCTGGAGCCAAAGGTTCAAAGAAAAGATAATGGCGAGGCCAGACTCTGGTGTAGGTCAGTGTTTATTAGTTAGTGTCTAGGATTAGGTTCTTAATCTGTCCAAACGCTTCCTAATCCGAATGTTTTTCTCTTTGAAGATATAACAAATAAAAACCAGAAATAGTTTCCCAAAAATAGTCCATCCACCTTTGGATGTTCTCCTGTGGCCACATGAGCTGTCATCACGCTGAGAGAGATTTTACAGAAATTCCTCCTGAAAGCCTTTGTGTGATTGTCTCATGATAACACATGAGAGGAGAAGCAGCGTTGGCTAGAAACTGATTTTAGGTGGGCTGCTACCATGGCAACAGCAGGCAATATAATATATTTGGATTGAACCTCCGGCCTGTGGCAGTCATTTCTGGTTCTGGTCCTTGTGTTTCTGAAAACACTTACAAACCTGAAACAAAGATTGGTTAATGTCTGTGAGGAGATGTATCTGCAGCTCTGACAGATCAGGACGATTAGAAAAGATGATACGCACTTTCATGAGGATAACGTTAAAGTTGTGCACAGACAGCATTCCCACGTGTCCTGAAAAATTTTGATTAATTTTGTTGTCAAAAACAATATGTCCATGAAACGCCTAGTTTCTCACTTAAGTAAATGCTAGTGAGGCTAACAGTCAAGCAGCCAATCAAATGTGCACGTCACCTCAGTGAGGTTCCAAACACTTTTCAGTCCATTATATCCGAAGGACGGGGGCTCAGTACTAGTGTGAGATGTAATGACATGTTGTGCTAATGTTCTGGGAAATAATAATTGCAGATTGGTGGAGTCGTAGTAATCCCGCCTGCCACTAGAGGGAGTTCCAGGCTAAATCCCACCTACTGTAGCCACCAAATACCAGGTTGGTTGGCATCAGGAAGGACATGGAGTGAGTGTAAAAACTCACTGCCAAATCA